GGGGGACCCATTGGTCGGTGGAGCAGTCAGAACACATCCAACGTTTATAGATTGAGTTTGCCATCATATGAGCATGTTTTGTGTCACCCAAAATAATCACAATAGTAACATCAAAGATCACTGATCACAAATCATTATACTAATATTAATATAAAATCACCCATATTAATGAATATGCTTGAAATAGTGCAAGAGTTACCAAAACGTAACACAAAGACAAAGTGAGCAAACGCTGTTAGAAGAATGGCGCTGATAGACTTGCTGGACGCAGGATTGCCACAACCTTCAATATGTAAAAAATGTGCTATCTGCGAAGCTCCCTGAAGGGAAGTGCAATAAAACAAGGTGTGCCTGTATTTAAAATTATGATTATAGAAGTAAAAATATCAGAAAAAACAGAAAACTTTAAAATGTAAAAATTAGTCATAATCCCACCATTCAGGATTAGCCCATGTTAAATAGCTTGGTGTTTTCTTACATAATTTCTTATGTGCATACAATCACACAGATGCTATTTTTAACATAATCAGGATCGTGATATACAATTATCTCTAGTGTCAGTTAATATTTGATGAACACTTTTCTATGTAAAAACATCATTCTTTTTCATGTTCTTATGAAGTTTACGGTACTTCTATTTTGAATGTTTTTATAAACATGTCTTCCACCAATAATTCTGCCATCATAACAGGTTTATTCCCATTTCTCATATTCTGATCTGGGTCAATGTTACTCAGTTTCTTGCTTTAACATAATCACAGTGAACGTGTTTGTGGGTTTGTACACATAACATTCTTTCATAAATTCTTTTCCATGTTGTTACAATCTGGTTATCTATTCTTTTTGGTTGCTAACACACCATCATTTGATTAGCCAGGTCCTGTTGTTAGACATTATGGTTATTTCTAGTATTTTGCTATCATATTCATTCGATTCCAAAAATTCTTATTGCACTTGAATGACTGAGGTTCTTTTGTCTCGCTTTGTTTTGCCGTCTTCCTGCGGTTCTTCCTTCTCCTGTCAAGCAGGGGCAGGACAGCCATTGGCATTTTCCAACTGTTGAATTCAGTAGTAGTTCAGTAGTAGTAGTTTACTCATATAGATGTCTATAGTTTGTAGCCACTTCCCTACGCAGCTATTGAGAGTTGTCCTCAATAGGAAAGGCTTCCAGGAATTCTATTGCCTACAAAACTGATTCAGCTCATTTTGTGACACCGAGAGCAGAGCCAGAAGTCATTTGGTGATATGAGTGAGTCATACAGCACCTGGCCTAGAAAGCACATGTAGGCAGTGGGGGAGAAACAAGGTTTGAAATGTATAGAGCTCGAGGCTCGTCTATGAGAAAATAGTGGCCAAGTCTTCCACTGCGCAGGAAAAGCCCGTCTACGGGGAGAAAGCAAGGCTGAGGCACAGAAGGAGGCAGATACCGGAGCTGGGAGGAAGGTGCCGCTGGCATTCACAGCCTGGGTTCTGCTTCTACAGCCTGCCGGTGTCCCTGCCCTCTCCAAGATGGGGCATCCCGTCCTCCCATGAATTCCGCGAGCCGACAAATCCCTCATTCTGTCTGAGCTGGTGTGAGTGGACATTTGTCAGCAGGAGCCGAGCACAGGCACCCAGCCGGGGCGGACCCCACCGCCCCTGGGCCGATGCCGGAACAAGAAAGATGGACAAAAAATGGACCTGCCCTCTCGGAGCTGCAGACTGTAAGGGACTGGGACATGCAAGCGAATCATTACAGTCCGCTGTGCCAAGTTTATGAGAGAGGTGTTCCACCTGATTCAAGAGCCAAGAGAAGGGGACTTCGACTGCATGCAGTGAATAAAATTTCACCTCAGTGTGAGAACCTCCTACGTTTTACAGAAGGAATAGTACAAATGACAAACACTACTATGACATCTTTGTTGGTCATTATTTTTCTTCTTTTGGATGACTTTAGGGTTAACTCTTGGGGATTACTGAGCTAAAGAGCATGGACACGTATTTATTCTGGCTTCTGCTGAAGACCACTGCAAAATGGGAAGTTTGGGTGAAGCCACACATCCCCCTTTTACTTAGTCTTCACACAGCCCTCCCTACAGTTAGAGCTTTGTTGAGCCTTATTTCCTGGGCAGCCCACACCCTGTTGCCCATCTCATTACTGAGGCGCTAAAATGCCACCAATAGTAAAAGCTGCACCAAAAAGAACTGTTTCATCCCAGCTGAAGCCTCCAGCCCAGGGACATTATGGAGAGTGGCCTGGAGCAGCTAATTGCTGGGATACAGGCAACTGGTTCCCATCTCTCCTATGTCCAGTCTGTCCCTCCCCTGATTTAGGAATCTCATATCCCAAAGCCAAATTTACCAAGTCAAAAGACAAGTTAGAGACACACTTGTCTAGGAAATGTCTCCCCCGTCTCCTCCAGATGGGACTAGCTCAACAATTAAGATGCCTATTCTTTTAGCAAGCACTTATTTGGCACTACGTAGCCATTGGATGGGAGCTCCATCTAAGATGGTCTGGAGATCCCCCTCAGCTGCTCCCGGCAGAGAGGGCCTGACCAACAGCAGGCATGATGGCAGAGTCCCAGCATTGCCGTTGGACAGGATTGCGACGTAACTTGCCAGTTGTTTGATCTCAAAGGACTTTTTTCTTTGATTTTGTTTCTTCATGTATATATTGGAGCTAACAATATCTACCCTTCCATTCATTTAATAACTAGTTGAAGTTCACTAAGAGGCAGGCTGGTACTGTCATGGAAGGAGGAGGGACAGGGGACAGGCAGAACCCCAGTTAAGTCCTGCTTTTGCAACTAACTATATTTCATTAAATCTAGGACATCACAGATTACAAGATGAACCACTGTTTTATGCAGCCATAAGAAAAAAATCACTGCAAAACTCGGATGCCAGGATTTCTTATCTCTTAAAACAGTGTTTTATACTTACTAAAAGAACTCTGAGACTTACTGATATTTGACATAGATTTTTATGTCTTTATACTCTTCCTACACATAAAAAAGAAAAATGTAAACAAAATAAACTGGCTAAAGTTGTCAAAGCCCTCTATCCAAGGACCACCAGAAATACACTGCAGTAATAGGAAGGTTTACATAATTTGCTGCAGTAAAGGAGAATGCATCCTCACAGGTCTCCTTAAATTTGGGCTTGTGTTCCATGGTCCTAAGGAGGGATTAGGGAAGTGGGGTCCAGTTCTGGATTAAATGCTATCAAGAAGCAGTGGACAATTCAGAGACTGGGTTATCTTTATAATGGAGATGCAGAGGGCAGGAGTCAAGCAGGGTTCAAGTTCTCTCTGGTCTGCAAGCAGCACTCACTGAGTCCTGTTGGTGGTCATGAAGCGGCCTCACCTACGTCTTTCTAAGCATAGTTTATGTTTTGCAAGTGGCATCACTATCAGAAGGGCTATCTTACGCTTCCTTGATATTCCTAAAACTTCACAGTGCTGTCCATTATAGAAAGTGCCCCCACTTCAAGGATGTTAAAACGTGGGGTGAAATGCTCATCCTAGATTTGATGAAATAGGATTCTTGCTGTCTTATCTTGGGCAAGTGATTTTACCCTTTAGGCCTCAACTTCCCACTCTGTAAAATACAAACAATACATTCTATCATATAAGACTTAAGAAATTCAAGAAATAATGTCTACAAAGTGCCTGGTACAATCCTGGTTCTATCACTCAGGGTTGCCAACCAAGGAAATAGGAACCACTCTAAGTAGGTAAAACAGAATTTTGGTGACACCGGAGGAGAATGGTGACATTGGAGACAGAGGTGATGAAAGGTCTGAGAAGCCCACAGGGGACCAGTGAGGCAACTGAGAGATTAGCAACAATAAGAAACTGTCCACCACTTATAAACTGGAGGGACCAACGGAGGAGACAGATTAATGGGGTCCAGGGTGAGGATCACCATCCAGAAGCGGGAACTATAGCAGCCTAGCCTATCCAGCAGCAGCTGGAGTCAGAGAGCTGCTTCTGATGCTGGAAACCCTGATGCAGCAGAGCCAGAGAAAGAGAAGAAATACCCTGTTTTTTCACTTCCTCCTATCTTCCAGTCTCCTGCCACTGTCTCCCAGTGGCCAAACCAAGGCCTGAAGGCAAGTGTCCTGGGAGCCTAAGGAACTGCATCCTTACATGGCAATACTGAGCAGAGAAGGGCAAGGAAGGGATCAGCCAGAAAGGGTAGAGGGTGACCATTAGGTAGAAATTAGTTAAACAGGTTGGTAATACCTTTCCTTGTGAATCTTTAGTCTGGGATACACTTGAAAGTAACAATATTATTCACTTAAAAGACCTCCTGTAATCCATACTGACTAGGTCACATCTCTCCTGCTCCCAACCTACTACATTATTCTGAATCACTAGGGTCTGGTCTGGTACAGTGGCATCTTAAGATGGATTTTCAGAGTCAGACATTTTCTCAACCGAAATCTCATTAGGGCTTCTCCAGCTTCTCCAGAGATGGGCCCAGTCTATGTCCCAGAGGTAAAAAAGCTCACCCAGAGTAGGATTTTGAGGCAGTGGTGTCATGGCAACCAGACCCTGGTCCTGGCGCTCTCAAGGATTTCTGTGTGACCTTGGGGAGGGGCATAATCTCTGGACTCAAGTTTAAAAAATGGAAATTACAGCCATCAGGGGAGGCTTGCGGGCGCCCACACTCCGCCTGGCTCTTTATCCTTGCATTCCCTTGTCCAGAAGGCTTCCTCAATGTTTTTCGAAAGAAAGGAAGAGGCAGGCAGTCTCAAGAATGCCCAAGGTCAAACTGCTGGCAATTCGGAAGGAATTCAGTCTCCCTTCTTGCCCGGCCAAGGCCTCGTCCACTCCCTCACCGACTGTTTTCCCTCCGGGGTCATCTTCTGGAGGAGAAAGGCTCTTTTAGGAAAAGGCAAAAGCGATCCCGATCAAAATCCTAGGGCGTCTGGTAGCGCTCTTCAGGCCGGCAAATCGGCCCCACCGGCATCTCAGCGGTGGGCGACCCTCGGGCTCGCCTGGGGGCGCGGACCTCCGCGCAGCGGGGCGGCCAGGAGCCCGAGGCCCTTCCCGCCGCCCTGCGGGTCCCTGGATTCTAACGGAGCCGCGTGCCCGGGGCGGGGCCACGCGCGATTGGCCGCGCGGGCTGGGGGGGCGGGCTCGCGGCGGGCCGGCCGGGAGGGTGCCGACAATGGGCCTCCATAAAAGGGAGCGGCGGGGGCCGAGGGCCCCGGATTGAGCCCTCCCCGCGCGGGCTCCAGACGCTCCTGGTTTCTGGAGGCCCGGACGTGCCGGTCGCAGGCCCGCCCGGCAAGCGGCGGGCGGCAGCGCCGGCTGTGCGTCCTCCGGCGTCCGGTCACCGCGGCCTCCGCCGGCCGCACCATGGCCGTGAAGACCGAGGGCGCCGCGCTCGACTGCTTCGAGGTGACGCTCAAATGCGAGGAAGGGGAGGACGAGGAGGAGGCCATGGTGGTCGCCGTGATTCCGCGGCCCGAGCCGATGCTCCGAGGTGAGGTGGGAGGGGACGCCGCCTCCGCGTCACGGTCCGGGACTAGGGTTCCCCCCCAGGCACGCGCCGGGGCACCTCCTCCACCACCCCTCTCGGGCCTGGGGTCCCGGCGCCCCAGCCCCTTCCGCCTGGGGGGCCCCCCCCTCTCCGGGCCGGGGGCCCCGGCGCCCCTTCCCACTTAGGCCCGGTCCCCGGCACCCCTTCCGCCCCCCTCCGGCCTGGGGCCCGGGCGCGCTCTTGCTCCGCCCCCACCGGGGTTTGGAATCTTAGGCCTCCCCGAATTCTCCCTTCCCCGCCCCCGCCCAGGGTCTGGAGCCTTCGATCCACGCCCGGCGCGCTCCGGATCTTCTGGCGCCCGAGCGCCCCCTCGCCCGGGCCCATCTCCAGCGGCCGGATTCCCCGCGGCTCTGGGTGTCTGCGGCCGCGGTCTCCCACCCCGCGCGGGCAGAGGCAGGCTCAGGGGTGGCAAGGCCTCCAGGCCTGAGCCAGGGTTTGGCAGCCTGATGTCTGGAGCAATTCGGATGGTGGAGGCGGGCAAGAGGATTTTAAGGCCCCTCCGTGCTAAAGCTTTCCAGCCTCCCTTTTCCGTCCCCTTCACTTGCATAAGCCACAGGTGTCAGAATCTAGGACTTAAAGGGTGCGTGGGATTGCGTACGGCGCCTGGTTTCGGAAAAGATGTGCTTGCTAGGAGGACCCTCAGCCACCCGAGGAGACTGGCCTTTGGAAGGGATTCGAGGAACAGTCTGGGAGCATTTGTCTTCCCCTCCCCCTTCACCAATTTTTTTAGTCCTAGGGAGCTTGCAACCCCTTACAAAACAGAGCCATCTTGATGGAACACTTAATCATGAAAACGCCAGTATCTTTTTATTGCCAGATACCTCTTCTTTTAAGGGAATAGTATCCAAAAGAGGTTGAACCAAGACCATTCATTTAACTTCAGCAGGGACATAGTGTTTCCCTCACTGTCTCTCATTCTTTTTGGAACCAGGAGAGTTATCAAATAAGTGTGGGAAATAAAGGCCGCTACCTTTCTCAGAGCTTTTGATCCTCAGAGTGTTTTGCTCAATGCCAGAGGAGAGTTATCAAATAAGTGTGGGAAATAAAGGCCGCTACCTTTCTCAGAGCTTTTGATCCTCAGAGTGTTTTGCTCAATGCCAGGCTGTCTCAGTTCATCCTCTCAACAACATTGCAAGTGTGACCTTTGTCTCCACTGTTAGGGATGAGAAAATACAAATACAGGGAAGTTAATTCATTCAACAGGTACTTACTGGGGACCTACTGTACGCCAGACGTTGTTTCAGGCAGGGCGTGCTAATGACGGCAAAGACGAACATGCCTTACTGGAACATACATCTACTAATAGTAATGACCAAAGAGACAAATATAAATAAATGCACGGTATGTCAGGTGGTGATGAGTGCGTCAGAGGACACTAAAGCAAAGAAAGAAAGTGGGAGTGTTTTATTTGGATTATTGGGTGGTCAGGAAAGGCTTCTCTAAAAGTGAATTTTGAGCACAGATCCAAAAGAAGTGAGGGAGTGAATCTTGTAGATAATTGGAGGGAAAGCATTTTGAGCAGAGAATAACAAGTACAAAAGTCCTGTAGCAGAAGCTTCTTGAATAATAATGGAATGGGAGAGAAAAAGAGGATGAATTCAGGGTTTGGGGCCTGAACAACTGGAAGGATGGGCTTCCCATTGCCCAAGATGGGGAGGCTGGGGTGTAGGCTTGTGGGAAGTTGGGGGTAGGGTTTGAACATGGCAAGCTTGAGATGCCTATGATATGTTCAAATGGAAAGGTCAGATAGAAGGTTAGATACATGGATCTAAATTTCATGGGAGAGTCTGGCTGGAGGTATAAATTGCAGTTATGAGCAGGCAGGTAATGGGATGAGGCCATTAGAGGAAGGGGGTAAAAAGGAGGGCCCAGGCACTGAGTTGTGCAGTGCTCCAGGGATTCCAGGTCGGAGATTGGGTTAGTCCTTCATCAGACATTTCTGAATAGCATTACTTGCCAGTAATTACCTTGACACTGGCAATACAGGCGTTGAACAAACAATCAAAAATGCTTGCTGCCCGGCAGCCCACAGTGTAGTGTGGAGTCACAGCAAAAAAAAATGCAAAGTGCTTGTTAGGGTGGGTGGTGACATGGGCTGTGGAGTAAAAGAGGAATGAAGAGGAACAGGGCGTTTGGGGGGCAGATGGCAGGCCATGAAGAAGACAGACATTCGGCAACCCCCTAGGAAACGAGAAGAGATGAGGAACTGGCATAGGTGACTAAAGCCTCGGGGGAGTAAGAAAAACCAGAAGGCTGATGACCTGGAAGCCAGGTGCCAAAAATCAGGATGGAAGAAGTGGTGGGTCATCTGATGAAGTTTAAGAACCAACCTCTCAGTTTAGTGTTGGCAATGATGGGAGCTTTTTTGGAGGAGTGGTGGGTTAGGCAGCCTGATTGATTGAACTAAGAGGTCAAGGTTCCCGTCCACAGTCACATGGGAGACAGGTACAACCCAGCTTTGCACGTCCCAACCAGTTCTCACCCATTTCCGATGCCACCTCTTCCGACAGTCCCAGGTGTGAGGGCCTCCCACGTCCGTGTTTGGTCCCATCCTCTCAGATGGAAGAGGTGCAGCCGTGAAGAATCACAGGCACTGCGTGGAAGCACTGAACTGCCAGGCTAACATGGTTCACAGCCTGCCTGCCTGCCTTGGCAAGGGTCACAGCTGCAAATACGGGGAAGGAGGCTAGCATCTCCTTTCCTATGTGCCAGGTCCAGGGGGCAATAGGATGGTAAAATTGACCATCCTCATCCTCAAGCGTGCATTGTGGCCTGGAAGTCAGATATGATTATAATCAACTTCCAGGGGTGGGAGGCCAGGAAGGCATCACTGGGGGTGATTTGAGCAGCTTCATGAAGGAGGTATAGGAATTTGCCGGACTGCTCGGGTAGTCTGGACAGATGTGCAGAGGCTGAAGGCATGCAGGGATATAGCCTATTGGAAGAACACACGTGGACCTGTGATCTGAGACTAGATTGAAAAAAAGGTTGGGGGGGGGGGGATAGGCTACCAAACGGTACAACCGGTTGTGTTTAATAATACAGCTAGTGCTTCATGGGCCTCCCACGAGGGCAGAGAGAGACTGAGTAGGAGGGTGCCCCCCAACACACACCAAGTTTTGGGAGTTGTGTTGTATTATTAATGGGCACCTTTACTAGTGACAGCCTCTCCTTCCTCTTTGTAGTGGCCCAGCAGGAGAAGACCCCACCTCCAAGGTCCAGCCTGCTGGAGGCAGGTGGTGATGGCTGTGAGGAGCCCAAGCAGCAGGTGTCTTGGGAGCAGGAGTTCCTGGTGGGAAACAGCCCAGGAGGCAGCGGGCGGGCGCTTTGCATGGTGTGCGGGGCTGAGATCCGGTCTCCCTCGGCGGACACCGCGCGCGCACACATCCTGGAGCAGCATCCTCACACCCTGGACCTGAGCCCTTCCGAGAAGAGCAACATTCTGGAGGCCTGGAGTGAGGGGGTGGCCCTTCTACAAGATGTCAGAGCTGAGCAGCCGTCCCCACCCAACTCAGGTAAGTGGGTGGGGCCTGGGGGACCAAGGGAAAAGTCAGACCCGTTAGAGTGCTCAGAACTCACTGGGCATTTGTCCCGTTCAGACTCAGGCCAGGACGTTGATGTAGACGCAGACTCCAACTCACACCCTGCCAAGATGCCAGCCGAGATTGTTGTGCTCCTGGACTCTGAAGAAAACCCATCCCTCCCTAAAAGGGGCCGGCCCAGGGGACTCCGCCCCCTTGAGCTTCCTGGTCAGTCCTCTGGGAAGCCAGTGAGGCTGAGCTGGGAGGAGGGGGAGGCACGGACCCTGTGTTCTGGGTGGGGAGAGGCTGCTGGGCAGGCATTCCAGCGTTCCCATGGAGGCTGTGGGATTCGGGCCTGGCCTCATGAGAAGGTGTGAAGGCTTTTCTTTTTGCAGCTGCCCCTGTCACAGAGCCAGGAAGTAAGAAGCCCCGTGGTCAGAGATGGAAGGACCCCCCTGGGGAAGAACCAGTCAGAAAGAAAAGAGGCAGACCTATGACCAAAAACTTGGACCTGGATCCCGACCCTGACCCAGGTGAAGGGAGGCCCTGCCTTGGGGGCGGCCGTGAATGCCGGCTGCAGCACTCCAAGGGGAAAGCTGAGCCAGTGGGTGTGGGGCTCAGACCTTTGGATGTAGGCCTCAGGGGAGCTAGGCAGCCCTCCTAGACTCAGTTCCATCCTGTCCTTCCAGACCCCCCGTCACCCGACTCGCCCACAGAGACTTTTGCGGCTCCTGCTGAGGTCCGACACTTCACTGATGGCAGCTTCCCCCCGGGCTTCGTGCTCCAGCTATTCTCCCACACCCAGCTCAGGACCTCAGACAGCAAGGACCCACCCAAAGAGGGAAGAGCAGCAGAAGGAGGCCTTCCCCAGCCAGAAAGTCCCTCTCCAGGTGAGCCCCTGAGGGGGGAACAACTGGGTTGGGCAGGGGGGTGAGGCTGGCCGCATCCCAGGGGTTTGGCCTCAAGGCTGCTCTGCAGCAGAACCCAAGGTAGAAGTGGTTGGTACTCGGGTCTGACGGGAGATGCAGCCAAGGGCAGATGGCTTTGCACAAGGGAGGCTGCCACAGAGCTGAGCTTTTCTGCAAGCTCCTTGGGAGTGTCCTGGAATGGGTCACTAGGTTAGGCTAAAAGCCAGTGCTGCCCAGAGCCTGACCCCCATCACCACACTTCAGGCTGATTCTGCCTGGAGCCTGAGAGGTGCCCACCTGACTCCAGTGGAATGAGGGCCTAAACAAGACTAACAGGAGAATAGACCCGTGGTGAACACTCAGCAGACCCCTCTGTGGGCGTGCAACTCAGTGAATTGCCTTATGAGCAGTAAGCCCTTGTGTTTGTATTGCATGCTAACAATTTTCAGAAACTTTTATATGCACTTCATTGGGCCCTCACAAAAGTATCTTTCCATATGAAAAGGCTGAGTCTCAAAAATGATTCCTTCTTCCCTGTGGTCCCTGTATTCATTTTTGGTGGCTACTGTAACAAATTGCTGCAACTTAACTGCTTTTCAGTTCTGGAGGTCAGCAGTCTGGAATGGGTCTCACTGGGCTAAAATTAAGATCCCAATAGGATGTGTTCTTTTCTGGAAGCTCTTAAGAGGAAGCCCGTTTTCTTGCCCTGCTCATAAGAAGCTGCCCACATTCCTTGGCTGGTGGTCTCCTTCCAGCTTCAAAGCCAGCAGAGTCTTTGTCAGGGTACTGTCTTTGTTCTGACTGTTCCACCTCCTTCTTCCCCAGTTGAGGACTTCTGTGTTTACATTGAGCCCACTCAAATCATCCAGGATCGCATTATTTTAAAGTCAGCTGACCAGTCACATGAATTCCATCTATAGCCTTAACACTCCCTTGCCATGTAACATACTGTATTCACAGGTCCTGGGGATTAGGACATGGACATCTTTGGGGGACCAGTGTTCTGCCTACAGTAGTCACATAGCCAAGCAGTAGCAGAATTCAGATGAGACTGGAATGTATTCCAGAGAGGGCTGAGGCTGAGCCTGGTTCCTCTTCATCTAACCAAGCCAGGCCCTGCTCACAGCATCTCAGGCTCAGGAAATGGTTCTGGAAGGAACAGATGAGTGATGCAGAGTGCCTTGTCCCGCCTGTCTGAACTGTGCATTCAGAGTTGGAGCCCAGAGAAAGATGGCACACGAGGCTCCCTCAAGCAGGGCTCTCTAAAATGAGGCGTACTTTTTGCATACAGAAAAAAGCAAACGTGACCATCCTGTTTCCAGCCCCACCTCACTCACCACTAGGGACTGCTGCTAATAGTTCAGCTGTGTCTTTCTGCCTTTTTGCAAACTTTTCTGTGTGCATGTGTGTGTGCACTTGTGCTCTTTCATTTATTTGTATTTTATCAAAATGGGCTCTAGTTTTTCTAGTCTCGAGGCAGGCCCCACCCCTTCATGTAGATCACTGTCTTAATTGTCTCAAGTTTCAGCTTGAGCCACATTCCAGTCCTGCCTCCCCGAGACTGTGCTCTGCTTGGACTTGAGCGCTTCCTGAGTCTCCTTGTTCTCTTCGGTGGATCGCGGCTCTAAATGGCTGATCTCTTCCACTGTTTAATGCGTCTTCTGGTTTCATTCTCAAAAGGGAGCCTTCTTTTTGAGTCCTGGGGTACCCTGTGCCCAAACTCCACCTATCTGGAGTGCTGAGTAACTGAGAAGGAAATTCCTGAGATCTCATTTTCATCTGGGGTGAGAGGGCAGAATCTGAGGCTTTGGGGTTCAGTAATCTGGTTGAATGGCATGATCGGGAAGGAGGAGACAAAAGTGTTCTTGGCAGTGGCAGGATCTATGGAGGCTAGAGATGGCCTAGAAATTGCAGAGGACAAGACACCAAGCAGAGCAGCGACAGGCGCTCCTGCAGCCCGGCCCCCAGGGAGGCCCGTGGGAGATGACATGAGCAGGGCAGGCTCCATCCCCCAGAAACTCGCAGTCTGAGGGTACATGTTGGAGGCAGTGCAGAGGCAAATAGAGAATGGGGGGCACCCCTAATAGTTCCTACAGAAAAAAGGCTCCAGACCAGTGGTTTCAAGGTTCCAAAGCATGGACAGATTTCTCAGTGACCTGTGAGGCTCCAACCAGAATGTCTTTACTTTGAGTTGCTTTATGTATTGAGATTCTTAGAAGATTTTATTTAAATAGAAAGCTACTACTTCAGAAGTTTAGAAATCAAGGATTTAGAAGTTGGAAAAGTTCACTGTGGTCAGATGAGCTGCGCCTGATGGATGAGTATGGAGCAGTCAGTGAAGACTTTCTGGAACTTTCCAAGGACCTCGCAGGTTGAGAGTGGGGAATGTGTCCAGGCTAGGAGAAGAGGTGAGCCCCTGTGGGTCCACTCACAAACGGGGGAAAGAGCCTTTTTGTCTTGCTGGTGTTTATGTAGGACTTAGAGATCTGGCTTAGGCTACTTTGGCCAGGCCCAGTGTGTTTCAATTCTGGACCAAGGAGAAAGAAGAGTGGGTGAGTGTGAGTATATGAGTGACCTTCCCAAGGGGCAGGGTCTTTCTTCGCTTCTGTATCCTTAACACTTAGAACAGTGCCTGGCACAAAGAAAGCCCTCAGTAAAGATTTATTGAACGATGAGTGGATGGTGGCTGCCTTCACTTACTCTGGTGGTGACATTTCCAGAGTCACTGCTCAGAGACAAGCTTTAACGAGAAAGGAGAAATAGACCTGGGCCCACCTGAAGAAGGTGCGTGCCTTTGTGCACAGGCACAAATGGCAGGGGAATGAAGCAGGGGAAGCACAGGGGCTTGGGCCTGGCCAGGGAAGGGGGAGTCAGTTCTAAGGTTGGGGTGCTAAAAGGGCTCAGCCTGTCCCAAAGACTGGTAAGTCCTGGCTTGCTCTTTCGTGGCCCAGGGGCTCTGGTCACACACAACTTCTGAAAAGACCTCTCTACTGCATCTCACGCCTCCCTCTCCTGATCCTCCGGAGCCTCCCCACCTCACCCCACGTCACACCTGTCCTTGCTACCAGAAAGAACTGGTACTTCCATTGCTTTGAGAAGTCCCTAACTTAGCTTCTTACTACATACTGGACTCTTAATACGTTAATAGGTTATTTCCTTAAATCCACACAACCACGATACAAAGTATCGTGATCTCCATTTTACAGAAAACAGCCTCAGGGAGGCCAGGCACCTCGTTCGTGGCCAGTCACCTCGTAGGCGACAGTCTGTGTGTGTTTTCCGCTGTAATACAGACACAGATGAGCCCACCACCCCCATCCTCCCCCGGCGTCCAGGCCGTGTCTTCTGCCTTCTCTCCTGCTGCTGTAACTAAACTGCTCCTGCCAAAGCCTGGCCCTGCTAGACCAGAGCTGTGCCCTCTCCCCTGCCAGCCGTTCTCTCTGTCCACCATCAGTTTTTCCTTCTCTTCTGGATGTTAGCCAGCAGCCCTCACAAAGCTGTGATTTCTCCCTTCTTGACCCCTCATTCTCTCCCCAGCCCCTGTGTCACTTGACCCCAAACCTCTGCAGCAAAGCTGGGAGGCATCGTCATGCTTAGCTGCCTTCAGGTTCTCTTCGGAAGCTGCTTGGGTCAAACTCATCCTCCCCACCTGACCTTAACACTGCTCTTGGGCAAGGTCACTGTGGACTTGCCTAAAAGAAATCAGGTGGTTCTCAGTTCTGATCTTTGCTGCTCTGGCTGCAGTAACAAGCCTGTCCCTCACTCCTTCCTGGAGACACTTCCTACCCTTGGCCTCTTGGGCAACGCTTGTCCCCTTTTCCTCCTGCCTCCGGCTTGTTCATTCGCACAGTGCTCCCTAAGTCGGATCCTGTTGTCTTTTGTCCTCTTTCTAGAGAACGTAAGGTACCTTAGGTCAGGATTTTGGTCTGTCTCATTTACTGTGATATCGCCAGCGCCCAGCCCAGAATAGGTGTTGCTTCTGTATTTGGTGGGCGGGTGAGTGAGTGACCAGATGCCTCAGCCGCAGGTCAGGGCCTGTACACACCCCTGGAGTGATTCCTGTCGGGGTTCCCAGCTGTTAGTACCATCCATGGGCTCACAACTCCCACTCCCACCACTCCCCTCAGTTCTCGACTCTTCCAGCTGCCCGTGTGACATTTCTACTTGGTTGTCTAAAGTACTTCTCAGACTCAGCACATCCAAACCAAACCCCCACTCTCCCCACTGAACCCTTAGCACGCCACTTCTCCCCAGATTTCTCTTCCTTTCTCCATTCTTCAGGTTGCGCGGGCTAATAAACCCTCGGAGTCAAACCCACCGCCCATGTCATCAGCAGATCCTCTTACGTCCAGCTCCCAAGTGTGTTCAGCATTTGCCCTCCTGGTGGCGCCTCCACTCCTTCTGCCTGCTACAGGCCGTCTCTTGCCATCTAGCTAATCTCCTGGCTTCTGATTTCTGCCCACCGTGGTCTGGTCTCATATGGCAGCTGTGTCCCTGTTGAAAACCCAAGTTGGATCCTGTCACTGCTCTGCTGAGAGCCCTTCGATGCTGTTCCTGTTGCAGTCCTGCTAAAAACCAGAGTCGCGTGATTTGTGATCCTCACTGCAGGATCTTTGCCTTCCTGCCCCTCCCCACCCTCTCTGCACCGCCACTGGCCTTGCTGTTCCTGCAACAGTGGGTGGCAGGCACGGTCCGCCCGGGCATCTGCGTTTGCTCTCGTGCCCAGAGTGCTGCTCCCCTACCCACGCAGCCGGCTCCTCACTCCTTGTACATCTTAGCTCCCGTGCTGGCTCCGTGAGGCCCTCCGTGCTACTGTGTCCCTTTCCCTGGTAGGTTCTTTATTTTGCTAATTCTTATATCATACTGCATCTTCTGTTTGTTTCTCCTATTTATTGGCTCTTGTCACTGTAACAGAAATTCCAAAGCCACTGTTCCTTGTGCTGCTGGACCCCTGGTAGCTAAAACAGGGCACAGATGGTTGCTCAGTAATTTCATAATTAAGGAACAAGTGGGCAAGATTTAGCCTGCCCTCAAGGAGCCTACAGTATGTTGGAGAGACAAACCAGCTTATGCAAATACAAAGCAAAATTTGCTCAATTAATGCAACCCATTGGCAGCCGTTATTTTAAGCCTCAGCAAACTACAGCAAATTGCACCTGGTTTCTCTGCCACATTTTAAATTGTCTCTCTAAAAAAAGATATAAGAAAAACTACAATACTGATCTTTCTCAATACAGACATTGCAGCAGTTGCAATCACCTCTTTCACCCTTTTTTTTTTTTTTTCCAATGTAAAGAACTTTTACGCCCAACGTCACTGGGGACATTTCTGTGGCTGCTCACCAACCTTGGGCAGTCTTGCCCCTGTTTTTTTGTTGTTGTTGTTTTTGTTTTTAATTTTTAATTTTGGTATCATTTATCTACAATTACATGAAGGACATTGTTTACTAGGCTCCCCCCTTCACCAAGTCCCCCCCACATACCCCTTCACAGTCGCTGTCCATCAGTGTAGTAAGATGCTGTAAAATTACTTGTCTTCTCTGTGTTGCACAGCCCTTCCTGTGCCCCCCACGCACTATACATGCTAATCGTAATGCCCCCTTTCTTTTTTCCCCACCCTTATCCCTCCCTTCCTACCCATCCTCCCCAGTCCCTTTCCCTTTGGTAACTATTAGTCCATTCTTGGATTCTGTGAATCTGCTGCTGTTTTGTTCCTTCAGTTTTTTCTTTGTTCTTATACTCCACAGATGAATGAAATCATTTGGTACTTGTCTTTCTCCACCTGACTTGCCCCTGTTTTAAGGCCCGATATGAGTAGCTTCTCCACACTGCTGAGGTGGACATCTGATGACTGTGTACTAGGTATTGACTCTTCAGGAGATGAAGAGCCTGGGGTGGTGGCTGAGCTGAGCTGAGGTCCTGCCCCAGGACTCTGTCCAGTGTCGTCTTCTGTCCACTCCTTGGTGGGCCAACCCAAGTCTTATTTTGCCTTTGGGTGTTCTCTCCACTCACATTAACTTCGCCCACACAGGGCAGAACCCATCAAGCTAGGATGCCCAATAAGTTTTAGACAAAATGGAGGTACAACACTAAGCAGTCATGTGCCAAAATAATGTGAGGACATCCGGCTTAGGCCTGAGTCGCCATGACCTTGTTTTCTGGTTTGTAGTGGTGCTTGGATGAACCAGGAGTAGAACTTCCTGTGTCCTTCAGCTTCCCCTCATATCAGGCACTGGGCTGAGGAAATGAAGGGCTGGAAATGGGGGTGCAGTTTGCTGAGGCCTTCAGAGGACATTCTCATGTTGGGGTATCTGGAGGCCCTGACTCTGCTCTCTGCTCCCATCCCTGCCCAGCTCCCGCTCCGGGGCTTCGCGGGACACTGGATCTGCAGGTTATCCGTGTGCGGATGGAGGAGCCCCCGGCAGTCAGCCTCCTGCAAGACTGGTCCAAGCACCCCCAGGGCACCAAGGGTGTGGGAACAGGTGACACCCCAGACTGGCCTGCGGTCCTGCCAGAATCCAGCACCACTGTAGGGGGCCAGCCAGAGGCAGGCAGTGGTGTGTAGGGTCTTGCTTGCCTGGGGAGGGGGTTTGGGAGGGAGGGGAGAAGCAGTGTCCCCCTTTGGCTTAACACTCAGAGCCGCGCAGCTCAGCCACCTGACGGAGAGCAAAATCAGGTGCCAAGGCAGGATGAAGGGGCGGAAGGGAGGCCGCACCCACTGTTACTCGGCACTAGTCTCGGCAGGGCATGTGCCAGGCCCAGAGGTGCTCAAGGCTGGCTGTGGGCTGTCGTGTGGTAGGGCACTGGGCCTGTGGAGAACACCTACCCCAATCCTTTTGCTGACCCAGACCTCTCTGTCCCCCCACCTCCTCCCAGCCTCTCAGCCTTCTTCACCCCCCTTCTCCCTTGGCACAGTGCCTTACACAAGAGGTCGTCATGACGGGGTTTGAACTGAGTCCCACTACCTCGGGGGACGCCCCTCCTCCCCCACTATTCAGGCTCCTTAACCAGGAGGCCTCCATTACCTCTTCCCACTCCATCCCTGCAGGAGACTGAAAGCCCACTGGGGGGGCTCCATTCATTCCTACTCTCCTTTTCACCTATTTTCCTGTTGTATATATCTCCTTTGTTGACAATAAATTATTTTTTTTTATTAAGAGTTCCGTCTGGGCCGTCATTGTGGGAAGGGGTTTGCTAGCTGTGTATCCAGCCTCCTGGGTCAACCTGGAGGGACAGGAGGGCTGAAAGGCTGTCCTGGTGGGAGCCAGAAAGCTGCCTGCCCTTGAGGGTAGGGCAGTGCTGGGATGGACTTCTTGCTAGTCACAGTGGGGTACCTTACCCCTTACCCTGCACTTGAAATGGGATCGAACACCTTTTCTTTAATGTTTGTTACCATGTCACCCATTGGGTAAGCCTCTGTCTGAGAGGAGCTACCGTGGGGGTGCGTAGGGACACCCATACTCGAAAAGCTGAGACTTAATCTGGACTTTGTAAAGTGAAGTGGTCGTGGTGAGCCTACAACAGGGAGAGATTCCCTTTGGTCCTCTGCCCCGTCTTGGGCGGGAGGGCACATGGCCCTGACCTGCCATCTCTGCACACTGCCTCACAGTGTCACCCCGCCCTCCTTGGCTTAGTTCAGCCCCAGCCTCTGCCCGGTTTCCTCCTTCCCTGGGCCAGGAGGCAGTCCGCTGTGGATCTCTTCACCAGATTGCTCACCCTCCCAGACTGACCATCGGAGGCCGCATCTGGGTGGGGTTTTGTTTCTCCCCTATGGTGATGGGGAGCTCCCTCGTCCCCAAACCGTTTAGAATCCAGGGACATATAAGATGGATAAGACAGCCGCCTTTATACCACACCCTCACCGTGCTTTACTGCAGATAAATATGGTGCATCCAGGGAGAAAGGGGGCCACGGTAGGACTTGGGCAGCTGTTCCCCTATGACACTGACCAGAAGGTTATCTCTAAAGTCAGGAAGGATCTGGGTATGAGTGGGGTATGCTGTGTGCTTACCTGAGCTGGTGTCACCTGTGGGCCAGCTGTGTGTCAAACCAGGTGTGAGTGATCTCAGCATGAATTGGCTCCTGGGACCTGGACCTGTCTCCCATCTGACAAGCCTAGGAGAAGGAGCCCAAGAATGTGGGGCCCTTGTCCGGGGGACATTTTAGAAGATTTGTGTGGTAGAAAGAAAGTGGGTAAAAATTCAGGACTCCTTGTGTCTGTGGCTCCACCTATGCGCGGTGTCAGCTGAGCCACAGAACTCCCCAGCTTTTTTGTCTTTACCAGCTTTTCTGAAAATTAGCAAATGTGTATCCTAATAGGAATAAATAATCCTGAAAGTCTGGCTTTGAAATATGAATATGAATTGCAGGTGATTTCTGTCCATCCTCTCAATCGTGTGACTGTTTACATTTCTGCCCATGTGCTTTTAAAACAATACTGTGTCGCGTGGTGTTGACAGTCGAGAAAACTTACATAAAAATTTGTAAAACTGTAAAGTTAAATGCACCTTTGCTGCTGTGAATATGGTTGATGGTTTGACCCACTAGACTGTGAGCTCCTCCTGGGCAGGGTCTAGGTTGCATTGACTTCATATTAGTGGAGCCCTGCTGAGGGCCTGGCACAGAAGTGCTCAATAAATGTTTGTCAAGTGTCCTCCTGGTGTGTATTCCTTGGCGACATTTTCCCAGTGCAAGCTGGCCCCAGAGTGCAGTTTGTGCATGGGTGGCTGCCACGGTGGCTGTGGCATGGTTGTTCCATGACTAGCCCCGTATCTTGGCCAGTGGGGGTCTGTTAAGCCTCAGCCAGGACCCTAGGGACCATACGAGTATATGCAGATGGGAGCTGCCCAAGGGCGCCACCAGGAAAGAGAATGGAGCTGAAAGCATGACTCCCCAGAGTCCAGGAGTTTCAGGATGTAGGTGACTGATTGCTTGGGGTCCCTGATCTGATCAAAGCGCCATCGAAGAGCTGTTCTGGTTCTTGACCTTAAACACCAAGGAAGCCACCTACATGACTGTCAGTGCCCCTGGGACTGGCAGTAGCAAGTTCCTCCGGGTGTGAAGCCTAGTCATGACTTTGAGAGGGGTTGGGAGAAGAGGGTGCCGTCGGCCCTGAGTCCTGACACCTGTGCCCCTTAGTCCCATTACTCCTCTGGTCTCTGAAGCTGGCCACCTTCTGCCCCCACTAGGTCTGGTAGGGAGATCTTTGGCGATACTGGTAGTAATCCTGGCAAAGCCAGTTGAGACATCCTTGAAGGGAAGCTGGACTCTGTGGTTGGCAAGAGGGGTCACTGGCTGGGCCCCTGTGTGTGCCTTAGTTACGTCACTGGTCTGTCTGGTCCTGGTTCTGCAGCTCCTCAAATCTAACCTCCCTCTGCTCTGTGTAAAACACAGGCATCGCCCACCCCACCCCTCACACAACTGAGCTGCTGTGCAGCCCCAGTGAGACTGCATTCCAGGCCCTTTGTAAACCAAAGTCCTGTGCACCCGAGATGTCATAGAAGGAGATGGGCTGGGATGGGAGCACATCTCTGATGGGGCTATAGCTTCTCCATGTCTGCTCCTCCCTGGAGCTGTTGGGAAGGAGGCACCCACTGGCCTCCCTAGGACAGCAGAAAGGAGGAGATGCCCCTGCTTGCAGGTGCAGTGAAAGGTATGGTGGTCCCACAGCCCCCTGTGGGTCTGTTTTCCTGCCTCCCAGGTAGCAGGTGCCTCCCCCAGAGCCTTCACATAGAATCTGGTCCTTGCCTTTCTCCCCTCAACCAACAGAGCACACCAGCCTCCGGAGAAGGAAGCTGGGCAGGACTTGCAGTTTTCCCAATGCCAAGGTCAGTGCCTCAGAAACTCCTCAGACCCCACAGCCTGGTGGTCAGAGGCAGCAGGAGCAACGTAGCAGAGGGCCGAGGCAACCATGTGCAGGCTCAGACTCCACACACAGCAGCGACGCCCCAGGGGCAGGCACTGTACTGGGACCGTGGAGCGCAGGCGGGGCACTGCCCTGGTCTCAGTCATGGGTCACCCTGTATTGTGCCCATTATACAGGTGAGGAAACAATGAGATGAATGAGGTGACTTGCCTGCTATTTCCAGAGCCAGCAAAGGAGCAGAGCCAGGCTGAGCCCCAGGCTGTCCAACTCCAGAGCTCTGGTCTCCTGGGCTGCCTGGCCATTTCTGCTTTAAGAAGACTGACACATTTTCACCTAAGAGCCTGGGGACCTGTGGTCAGTTAAGGGTGTGGGGTGGAGGGGTCTCAGGTGAGAGCTGGGAAAGCCCCTCATAATGACAGACATTCGGGACCCCCTTTGCTCCAGCACGGATGGTGCCTAGTGCCCTCGCCATGCTGGTTTCTGGAGTCCTCCAACCCCTGGGGCCTGCTGGGATCATGCCCTATGCCTGGCAGGTCCCACTGAAAGGGCTCTCCACAGAGGAAGGGTGCCCCTCACCTGTCCCGGGTGACAATGGCTGGGAACCAAGCAGAGGGCCTTGGATTGCACTCCTCACCCACCCCTTCTCCGGATGATGGGGGGTGGGCCCTGGCTCAGCGACCTCTGACCGTGGCTCAGGCTGGGCTGGGTGTTTGGAGGCTGCAAAAACAGTGACTGGTGCAATGGTGTCCACATGAGCTTGGGCCATTCTAGGGGGCAGGGTATGGGGACTTCTAGCCTGACCTTGCGCTGGTCTGTCCACTCCTCTGTCTGACCTGGGGTGCGGCCTCTTGCCCTCCATCCCACCCACATCTTCTTGGGTGAGCAGTTTGTCTCTGAGACATATCCACAGCCCTCCAAGGTCAGAGCTGTGGTCGAGCGCTCAGGACAGTGGGTCAGCTGAGGCTCACAAGGCCACACAGCCCCCGGCCCACCACGGTGAGTTGGGGGCGATGCACACACTGTTCCAGGTTCTGGGGACACAGCCATGAACAAGGTAGACAGCCTCAGGTCTCCCAGGGCCCCATTCCGTGGAGGAGGCTGGCAAAAAGGAGGCTCTCAGTCCAGCAAGAGAAAAACGGCATAATGGCGGGGCGGGGAGGGGCGGAGGAGTAGATGTTTTTCCTTTTTTCTTTCCTTTGTGATCATGGACATTTTCAAACACACTCAAAAAAAGAGAGAATGGCACAATGAGACCCAATGCAGCCAAGAGCCAGCTTTGACAAATCTGGCCAGTGTTGGTTTATCTTAATCTCCCCACATCTCCCTCCCTTCTGGATTATTTTAAAGCAAATCTCAGATAGTTCATCTGTAAATTGGTCTGTTTGCATCTCTAAGGGATGTTCAGACTCTTCAGTAAAACATATCAATGTCACATTTTAAAAATTAATAATCCCTTAATGTCTTCTAATATCCAGTGTTCACATTCCCCGATTGGTCCATGAATATCTTTTTAAAAAATTTTAATTGTGGAAAAATACACATAAAAATTTACCATCTTAAACATGTTTTAAGTGTACTAAGTGCATTCACATTGCTGTGCAATCAATCTCTAGACCTCTTCTGTGAATCTCTTTACAGCTAATTTGTTTGAATCAGAATCTGAGGTTCACACATTGCACTTTGTTGATATGTTTCAACCTGTAACAGCCTTTCTTCCCTCTTTTTTTCCTTCTTTTTTTCTTTTCTTGTTTAAGAACACTGGCTTGTTTGGTGAACAGGATTGCCTCCGTTCTGGATATGGCTGATGGCCTCCCCACGGTATCACTTAGCATTCTCATCCCTCGGGGCGGAGAGGGCTTCCTCGGCAGCAGGAGATATTTACATGCAGCTAAATAAGGAAAGGGAGTTGAGGGAAGAGGAGATTGGAGCCAAACCCTGTGGCTTTCATTCCCATGGAATTGACAGACTGTGTGAGGCACAAGGGACACCACTGGGAATCAGAAAATGTCCCTGCTGTCCTTGGGACCAGAGGCCCTGGGCACTGTTGTCCCTCGGGAGGGTAGTAGGTGAAGAAAGAAGTGTTTCTCCATGGACCTCCAGCTTTGGGTATGTGGGGGTGTCATCTTGTCACACTGGTGAGTCACTGGGACCTGCCCCACTACGTCCTCCAGGAAGCCACATAGAACCCTGAACTCCAGCTGGTATCAACTTCCCCTCTGCCGCCTCCAAGTCTGAGACTGCTGTTGGTCCTTCTGACATCCTCCTGATAGACACAAAGAGCCTAGAACAGTGCC